AAATTCATGAAATAGTAGTTCAATAAAATTTTGAATGAGTCAACAAATGCAATGACATGCCCTTTGATCCGTTACCCATCTGGAGAGAGTTATGGTACAATCCCAAATACTTACCTTATGCTTTGTAGTGTGAACAAGGTTAAATCTGTTCAAAACCCTGATGCTTTCCACAAACCCTATCATGGAATAGGATTATAGTTGAACAAAACTAAGATCCTCATTTTATGATTTTCTTGTTTATAGGACTATATTTGGAAAATGCATACCTACCTTATGTTATTTCATGTGAATAAGACTAAAACTATAAAAAACACAGATATCTTAACTACTTCACAGCTTGTCATATGAGTAGAATTACATCTGTATTAGAATTAGACTTCTACTACAAGTCTTTTGTGGCAAATAGGATTACAGCTGTGTTAACATCAGACCCAGAACTCCACTCCTGTGTGATATGTAGTACTATATCTGTGTTAGTACCCTTGAGTCCTGTATGGTGAATAGGATTACAGCTGTGTTAACATCAGACCCAGGACTCCACTCCTGTGTGATATGTAGTACTATATCTGTGTTAGTACCCTTGAGTCCTGTATGGTGAATAGGATTACGGCTGTGTTAACATCAGACTCCTCATTTCACTCTTGTATATTGAGTGGACTACATCTGTGCTGTGCCCCCCATGGATATTAAAACCCAGTTTCTAACATTGTAAACCTTCAGATTTATAGCTGAGTCACAAGGGGTGGGAGGTTCTTATTTTAAATTATGGCCTATAGTTGATGTTTCTAATTTGTGGACATTCTGGAATCATATAAAGGAATGAAGAAAAGCTACAGCAGAGAAGCACCATGTGATACAGAGAAGTAAAGATGAAGAGTTTATTTAAATATTTCCTTTTCTAGATTAAGAAATTAAAACTTATATAATTTTAAAATTTGAATAATAAATTACATTTTGATTCCAAGTTTACAAACACATATTGATAAAAAAGTTGTATAATTATAACACAATGATCATCACCTGTACACATAGGGTTAATTAATACCACATCCTTCCTTTCAGTCCACTGTGGTGAATAAGTTTATAGCCAGTTTAATACTATATTCATCAAGTCCAGTGTGGTGAGTACTATTACAGCTGGGTTAATATCAGATCTCTCTTGAGTTCTGTGCAGTGAGTAGCATTATATATGTGAAGTGCCAGATCCGACACTGAGCACTGTCAAGTTAAGAGGATTACACTCTTGTTAACATAACACTTCTATCTCAACTTCTTTGTGGTGAACAGGATTATAACTCTACACAATTCAGACACAAGTCCATGTTCTGTTTGGCAACTACATAAGGCTATATAAAAATCATGAGTAAATACCTCGTGCTCTGCTAAGTGACTACGATTACAGCTGTAAAAGTCACATTTTGGACATCTGAAGTAGTTTCCTGTATGTTTTCTCATATGGGTATAGAGATTTCCTTTAGCATTGAAGGCTGATGGGCACTGCAGACACTTGAATGGCTTCAAATTCGTGTGAGTGACACAATGTAGACGAATGTGCGAGAGAGACTTAATTACCTGTAATTGACATCATGCAGAAATAAGTAAGTACAACAGTAATTCACATACATTCTGTTTCTTTCCAGATCATAAGTAAAATAATTACTAAATAAAACACATTATCAAAAAAACTTTTTTTCAAATACACACTATTCTATTTTTTACATATGGCATATTCTACACTCATTTATTTTCTTTGTACCTATTTCACTATTTTTTTTCTTCAGATAATGAAATTGGAAAGGAATACTGCTATAAAAAAAATTAACATTTTAAAAGAGGTTTTCGCTCACTTTTAATATATTATATTTTAAAATTTGATGTTTATATCACCGTAGTTATTATTTACCAATTTAAACTATTTATTAAATAAGGAGAAATGATGATTAACCATATTATGACAGGTATCTGTATTTTACAGAAACTCGTAACCACCCTATAACCATAGTGGTATATTTATGATGTTAGAAAAACACGTAGGTTCAAGAAGTCTTGATATAAATGACTAAAAACCTTATAACATGGTGGTATACATACTATAACTCTGAAAGTACTTATTGTATCTTCACGAAATTTGGCAAGCTTTCAGTAAACTTTAAGTCTTTCGTAAAAAAAATAAAAATTGTTCATTAAGTAATTTACTAAAATTTTTTGTTTAATTATATGGTGTCAGAGTGTTGACTGCTCTGAGTGCAAAGTGATTTTCACATTAAGATTAAGAATACTTTTCTTGATCTGAAAATTTTCAAATTTTTTTTGCATAATCCCTAAAACCTCCTAAATAAATACCAAATAATTTTTCAAAAAACTTAATATTTTATCTGTTATTTTCTTTATCCTAACTCAATACGAGGTTGGTTAAGATGACTAACATGAAACTTGATTTATTTATCCTAAACAGCTTAAATATTGTAACAGTATACATTTGTTTATACTTAAATTTTATTGTTTTATTGCCCTTTGAATGGTGTTTCAACTAATATTCCTGCCATAAAATTTGAGATTACTTGGCAAAAGTGCAGCTCACATTACCCTATTAAATTACATAACACATGGGCTAATCACCAGATGCTTGCAAGCATACCTCATAAAAAAAATTGATATTATTATTCTTTATTTCATCTAATCTAAACTTAACTAACCTAAAAAGTTTCTAATTTTTACATTTTATAATAATAAATAGAGTACACATGAAAAACAAGAAATAAAGTACTTACCCGGGTCACCCTCTTTTTACTGTCGACTGTCAAAAACACTTAACCCTACTTTTTTATACTAATGGTACAACTGCATTAAGTAATTTTTTTATTAAATTAAGTAATGCTCCAAAGAACACAGAATAATAACATGCAAGATGCAGACCATGTTCATTAACTATCACAACTATTCTGACTTTCTAACTATGCAACAAGAGCCATTAGAATTTCAGCTAAGCCTGTCAATGTCTTTTCCATGGGAATCAATTTTGAACTGGAAGCGAAACTGACAATTACCTGTGCAGAAAACAAAATAATATAATACATCATTTGATATACTGAAACTTTGGCTTTCTATTGGTTATAAATAATACAGTATTAAACATCAAAAAGAACCATTGGCAATTTGTGAAAAAGGATGTGGCAGGAGGGTCTCATTTTCAAGTTTATGGCTCTGAAACCATATAAGATTCAAAGTTATAAAAATTACGTTTTGCCTGAGCAATAACTACATTATAATGAGTAATTTACATTGAACTCTACAGTTCTCAGAGGGGTGGTTAATAAATTAAAGAAAAGGGAAGACATAGATAACAAATGTCACAATTCTCATGCTAGGGAAGATTGAAGTTTTTTAAAAATATTTCCTCATAAAATTAAGAAATCAAAATTTAAATAATATTAAAATTTGATTTAATGATTACATTTTGATTCCAAGTTTATGTGTATATATTAACAATAAAGTAGTTTAAATAAATTTTGAACTTAACTCTGTGAAAGGTTGTGACATGAACACTTGCGAAATAGTTAAAGAATACTTTGCCCAAAAAATTCTACTAATGAAAATATAATGTATGACACTACAGTAGTGAAATATACAGTTTAGCTTCCCAAAAATACCCACCTTCTTGCAAACATTGCATGAGAAAACAATGAGCTCATTATTTTCTCTTCGCTTGGGTCGTCCAGTTAACTCAGTGTTAACTTCTTGTGATACCTCATGTCTTACAAACATGTCATCAACACAACTGAGGTCAACAGCATTCACCTTCTCTTCAAATTCTGCTTGTTCTTCTTTAGAATTGAAAATAGGTACATGGAAAGGGTCCTCTCGCCAATTTCTTTTAGGCTTTTCATCGACTGCCATAGGATCTTCAACAAGAACTGTAAGATTATAAAAAAAGAGCAGATTATTTAAGTTTAACTTGAAACTTAAACACTTAATATAGTTAACAATACTTTACATTTTGATATGTTTATTGAAAATTTTGATGATTAAATTGATAGTTATTGGAAGTTTTTATACCACGGCCAAAGCTAAGTTCTATACTGTTAGATTTTGCCTTGCCATATGCTTAGAATGATATTCATTTAAATAATTTTTGTCATCAGTTATATCTATTCAAGGTTTAAGAATTGCAGTTCACATATATATATTGCGAGCAGTGGTGTTTGTCCAAACGTTCTTCTATCTCCCATTTACAGTGGCTACTTAACACACTGTATTTGAAAAGCTGCACATACAGGCAAAGCTCAACATTGACTTTTGAAATGATGGGAGAACAGGCATGAATACTGTTGATGCCAAATTTTATTTTGCAAGCAGGATATTCTACACTAAATTTTTAGGAATTAATCACACTATCATTCACATTTCAAAATGTGACACAATTTAAAGAATAAAAATGTAGATTTACCACAAGTTATTGTTGAGTGGCTCTTAGACTAACTAAGATGTTCAACAATTACTTTTCACGGTGGGTGGTATAAGTAGCTCAGATCTTTGGCTCTGAGTGAAATCAAGACTGCAACACAATTAACCTTTTCAAAGTCCATGAAATAAGTTAAATGATAAAAAAGAAATTAGTTTTCTTTTTTAACAAACTAATTTTTAAAACTGTTTTCTACAGATACCAGTAAGACTGACATGGTTGAGTTTCATCACTATTACAAATGTATCTGACTTTATCTTGAAAATATTTAACCTTACATTCAACAGAATCCATATGGACCCCCAATGGATTGCTAAACAAAGTTTTTCAACAATTTATGCAAGAAATTGCTTGTGGGTTCATTACTTTGTTAGTAACATGTCCCTAATAACATATGAATGAGGTACATAAAATAATTTAAACAAAATACCATCAATATTACAATTCCACAAAGTTTTTCTGGAGTTCTCATATCTTTTACAAACTTTTTCCTAATATTTTTGGTCCTTTCTTCACACTGAATGTTGTGGCATGAACAAACATAAAATAACTCAATACGATATAACCCTACCAGCAGTGAACAGTATGTAAACAATTTGGTAATTTGAAGAGTAAACTGATCTTTAAAACATACTCGCAAAAAATCCAGTGAAGAGCTATAAACAGATTTTATTACATTTTTTGTAAACAAAATCATCATACATTAGGTTCTAAAGTGGCAAGATGTCAAGCACTATATATATAGCAAAAACAAATTTCACAAAACAAAAAACTACAGATATCCTCCACAGATTGAGATGTCCATTCACCTAAACGTCTTATAAAAGGTGTTGAAACTTCATGTTTGTAGAGATAAGAGACTAGTAATTCAGCTTCTGCTTCATCATGGTATTATTTCTAGATCCGCTTTGAAGTACATCACAGTACTCATGTGATGAATGGTTATTTTCACTTGCATCAAATACCATTTACTTTTAAAAATGTACATAAAAACTTATAATAATTGAGTTTTTATGTTCACAAATTCATATGCATTCACAAAATAAGCTTTTTTTATTTTAGAATTTTAAATAGGATGAAATATGTTACATCGTTTTTCATGATCTTAATCAATAATAATCTCCCACTCTCAAAATTAATGCCCAAAGTATGAGTAATTATATGGATACTCAACACTCAGAGATGTTAAAACTAAAATTATCATTTACATATTTCAAATGACAGTAAATAACTTTTATTGGTCAAAGATATTTTGTTTGACTGTTTTTTTTCCCAAATACTTTCCATAAGATACTGCCATAAAAGATATTTTTTGAAGCTGTTGTTCTCAATACAAGTACAATGACAAGAAAACACAGAATATAATACGTAAAATCAAAGATTAGTCCAATTCAGCACCCACTACTACAATGATGGTGTCTGTTTTACAATTTTAGATGTCATAAGACTGGAACCAAAGTGTCCAAGTCCTATACTGAAACTATTCTTTAAAAAACGACTTTATTAAGATGGTTTTTCAGTAGCAAGTCTGACAGGCATATGTTTCAGTGTTTATGAAACCAAGTATGTAACATTATTTCCCACTCAATAGCACATAGCAGTTGTAAAAATGTTCATTAAAAAATCTTTAAGTTGATTCTTGAGCAGTCAAAAACCCACCTTTATACTGCAACCAAACCTGCAATGAAGGCGTCTCTGTTGATTAAAAGCATTAAGAAAAAATAAGCTAACCATTACCAACTGCTGATTTCTTTTTACCAAAAAATAGTTATCTGTGGCTATTAAAAATTATTCATACTTTTTAACACTGAGCTAGATGTAGTGCATAAGTAACTTTAGCTGAAAAAAGTGATGTTTACTCTTGATGGGGTAACTTAAGCCTTGCATTTGCAACTGAGATTTTTAAAACTTCAAGAAGTAAAATCTACATTTATTTGTCATTAATATATCACAAAACATAAAAAAAAGGTTTTTAGTATAAAATTAAGCTTGATAATTACAACTTATTTTTCTTCCTGGAAAAAAATAAATATAAAAAGCAATTAATTATTCAAGTGATATAGAGGTTACAAATTAACATTTTCAATTCCTGTAAAATAATTTTTATTTGAATTATAATCTAATCAAATGCCTTTCTATTCTAACTATGGCAATTTAATTTTTATGTGTCACAGAATCATTCTTTAGCAGTTATTATACATATTACAGTAAAACATGTTAATGAAATATATTAGTTTTTATGTAGACAAGAAATGAAATTCACATCATTACTTACTGGATGAAAAGTGGGACAAATGTGTTTGTTCCTCATTTTCTGTTTCAAGAATGCATTTTTCAGTCATGAATTCCCTATTAATTCTTCTTCTATTGCTCCTGCCTCTTCCTCGACCACGACCTCTTTTTCGATTTCCTCCTCTGGACCATGGAGGGTTGTCAATAACTGAAGAAATGGTAAAATCTGCAGTCAAGTCTGTATCAACTTCATCATCATCTTCTTCTTTACAAACTTCATCATTTCCTGCTAGAAGATCATTTGGACCAGTTGTTTTTTCTTTATTATCCTGCCCATTAGAAAGAACTACAAGTAAGATAATATTACAACAGTTATTTGTAATTTTTTTTGATACTACAAAATCTAAGGTTAAAGTGTTTGACATAACAATCTAATTCTTAGAAATTCTGAATAATCGTTTGTTATACATAATTAACTATATGAAATGAAATGACAAAAAATGATATTGTAATAGAGTTCTTTTACATACACACATCTAAGTCAGGCAAGGACTGCAGCAATGATTCGATTACATCTCTTGTTCGATAACGAGGAACCCACTTTGAGACTAATAATGGCTGGAGACGGCTTGAATGGGTAAGGAAGAAAAACTTGTATTAAAGTTTTTCTTCATTACCCATTCAAGCCGTCTCCAGCCATTATACATCCCTTGTATTTATGTTTTAATCCTATGTGTACAGGTGGGGGTCAAAGTGTGCATGTCATGAACTTTTACACAGTGCCATTCAACATGTTATTATGTATTTGATGTCAGAGTTATCAACTATTCATTTTACCCTACATTACTGATTTAGCAATAGTTCATGGTAGAGGTAACAATATATATAGATACTTGAAAAAACTGTAAGTATGCATGCCAGGGCTTGATTTTAAAGGTCGTCCAAGACAACTATAAACTTCCTTGGACGACCAACTTAAACCCCAGTGTGGTTCGATGGATGACTAGCACCGCGGAACAGACCCTTACTCAAAACAGCATCGCAGCCTACTGTACAATTATCCATGCCCACACTACACATGTAATGTTGACTCTGATCCTCGACCAAAATCATCGGTAAATTCCCTAACTATGAACTTGAAAATTTTAACTCCCACAAAAATATCATTTGGTTCGCTTTTTTTTGTTTACAAAAGAGTGTACTTTGTTCAAGAAAAATGTAGGTACAATCCACCAAAGGGGCTAAAAAAAATTAGGAAAAGTTTGCTTTTGTAATTGGCTAATAATGCAAGTTTAGTCACTAAATTTTCTATCTTGGAAAAGCTGCACCACTGTGCATTTTATGCACATACATTTTGTATAGAGTTCAAATGAGTGTGAATGGCTATGCCTGGTAACACAGTACAGTGTATATAGCTCAATTAGTTACATTACAACACACACCGTATCACGCAATGTTTGTATGCATATGTATGGGCGAGCAGGAATTTGCAACAAAATCAAATACTGATAACACAAATATTTAGGGAGGTTAAATTCTAGTACAGATGCTTAAGACAATAAAACTAACATGGCTGTCTCAACTTCTTACCAATAAACCTTCAATACGAACTAAAACGATCATATTTACAAAATTAAACTCGAATTTTATCATTAATCATAACAGTTGAAACATTGACCTCCTTTCGATTATGCATGTATAGGCTTAAGGCTAACATTAGATAGACGTTTTTTGTTTTTTTAAATTTTCACACAAAGTTGCATGAGGGCTATCTGTGCTAGCCGTCCCTAATTTAGCAGTGAAAGACTAGAGGGAAGGCAATCAGTCATCATCACCCACTGCCAACTCTTTTACCAACAAATAGTGGGACTGACTGTCACATTAAAATGCCCCCACAGCTGAAAGGGTGAGCATGTTTGGTGAGATGCGGGTTCGAACCCGCGACCCTCAGATTGCAATTCATGGGCCAAGAATCATGGTATCGACCCATTAGATGTGGTCATAAGTTCTGCTGCTGCAGTAAGAGCAGTCGTAGTCATGACCACCCAAAACTGCGAGTGCATAACTCCTGAAATTGAAAGAGGAGAGAAGATAAAATACAATAAGTCATTACTTTCCAAGAAACAGAACAAAAACGTAAAATAACAAATTAACTAAAGAAGAAATTCATGAAAGTAAAAACATGTGGATAGGTTAATTAAACTGCGAGCAGAAAAAATGCCTAAGCAATAGGGCTGCTGATCGAGAAGTCATTAACATGTGCATAATTAGAGAGGGCACTAGTTACGATAGGGGTAGTGTCGCACTTTTATTGGTGAAGGGTGCTGCATGATCATTTGCATGTTAGTATGCAGTAATAAGTGAAAATAACAAGGCTATTGACTAGCGAAAATTTGCGCCGATAGAGGGCAGCACAAGTAAAGAAAGCTTTTTTTTTATATCATATGGGAAAAAACATTTCAATATATATATATATATGTATCTTGAAAGTTTGACATTACAAGGAACAAAAAACATTTTGAAGTTTCAAAAATGTTAAAGAAAACAGCATACGAGTCATAACAAAAACTGTAAAATTACAAGTTTTTAGAGATGACTGACATGAGTAAGAACTCATTTTAAAACGAAATTAGAGAAAAAACAATATTTTTAAATTTTATAGTTGTTTGAAAATACATGAATCTATATATATTCTACCCATCATTATACTGATTGTCTTCACTGCTAGATGCTACATTACATGGTTCTGAAAGCTGGTAGCATTACTCAAGATAACATGTATGCTGTCAGCAGAAGTTTCTAGTGAACAAATCTTAACATCTTAACTAGCATTTTATTTCAGCTGATTAACACAAGTACAGCGTATTAACAAGTTACTGATAAGTATTTCTTGAATTTAGTCTAATCATATAATTAATATCAAATGAATCAACTCTGTAAGAAAAGATTAAAATGTATTATACAACATTATTAAAATAATGTAAAATACGATGAGACATAATTAATATAAAACTTGCTTCTTTTTCTTCAATTTTCACTAAAGGATCAATATAATCTCCCACACCAAGACACTTATGTCCCAAAAGGTGACGCTCCTTAGTAAAAGACCTTTGACACTTGGTACAAGAGTAACGTCCATCTGGACCAGGTTGTGGAGGTGCTGGAGGATCAGGGGACTTTTCTGATTGTGTTGGTTGCAATAAGTCTGTTGATCTGAGGATGTACATATTTATACATAGAACATCATTAAAGTAGTTTTTCTAGAACTTACTGTATAAAATTTATTTGTATTGCTAACTTTTTAATATAATCTTACTGTATATTATGAGGATGCAGGTGGAACTAGAACATACAGCTCTTAATAAACTATTGAAATAAAACAAAGATATGGAATCAAAACATTACAGGAAACAAAAAAAAATTAAACAGAAGCTAATACAACTGTGATTATCTTGTATATTAAAACAATACATTTATGGTTTACCAGTTAAAAATTCTATTTCTGTAAGCAAATCATTTTTTTTCTAGAACAGAGCATAAAAGTAAAGAATATAATAACTGTCTTTTGTAAAATATTTAAACCGTACTTTTGTTGTTCACTTTTGCGAGGCCTTCCTCTTCTTCTTTTAACTGGTGGCCCATCTTGTGTTTGAGATGATTCACTAAATGGTTCCAAATACAGACGGACACTTGTAGTGTTTACGGAGCTTGTTGTGTCAACTGGTGTGAAGGACAGCTTTTCTCTCACCTTTGTTCCCGAATCAACATCTACTTGTGTCACACTTGCATCTGAAATGGGAAGTTTAAGAATACAAAGAAAAAATTTAGAGTTCATTAAGCAAATATTTTGAGTAATGATAACTATACAGATCACATCAAAAATGGAAAATATACAGTAGTAGCTATATTGTAAGTAAATGCAACTTTTATCAAAATTAGCTAAGCAGCATATGATACAACAGACTACAAAATTACCATCAGCTACACCAGATTAATTATAATGTATACAATGATTAAGTTTGAGTGGTTTTTTTTAAATACCAAAGTGTACAAGCAAATCTAAGTTTTATAGAAAAAAAGATATCCTTTACATATACAAGTTGTTGGATAGCAATAAAATTAATGAAGTGATGAAAATAATAAATTATTAAAATTTTTCCATCCAAACTTTAGTTCATCTATCAAAGGTCTCCCTGCTTAGCATTTAATTTGTTGGGTTCATTTGCCATGTCTACTGAATACTGACAAAATATTTTCTAAAAATTCACCACTAATGGCCAGCTTCTCCATATTAGCATAAATATTTTAAATATATCATCTAACTTCTATTTCTAGATGTCTTGTAGATCTAGACCATATCCAAAAATCCCCGAATGTTTCACGGCGATCAGAGATCGGGAAGTTACTTCTGCTAAACTTGTATATCACTAACTTGAGAGCCATGTATTGTGACAAATATCTGACAATAAATTAAAGTGCTTTTTCTACTTTTACTTTATTAAACAACCCAAGGTTGGTTATGCAATAAATTCCTCATAGGAAACATTCTTTTTCTCTCAGCATATCATTCTATAGGACTGGAAGTGGAAAATAAAAGGTATAAAATAATAAGTGTGTTCATATGTTATCAAAGGTTCTTCTAAGTTTATAAAATATATGTATGATAAATGTCCACCTGCATAAGCTTCATAAAACCATCACTAAAACATTCTTTATAGCAAATTGTTTATTTGTAATTGGTTAATAAAGAAAATCATTAAAAAATAATAATAAATACCTTAAGTTTGATAATAATTTTATCCAGAAGTACTAGAAACAGAATTTCCATAAGTTTGTAAATTGCTACATTTTTGTGCAGATTTATCAAACTCTTCAATATATATTTAGACATACCACAAACAGAAGTTTCCATGATGTAATATAACTATATTCAATTACCTATACTCATTAATGGTTTGATTTTCAGTTTTGCTTCAGATAAGTAGCTTGCTCTCATAGGAAGTTAGTATTAATAATCATATTTACATGTATATTTACAATCTAACTCCAATAGTGCATTACAACAAAAAGACATTGTTTAACTTCTTTAACTCATATTATAGGACTTAAGAACAAAAAAGATTTTGCAGATAAAGTTAATATCTCATTATACGAGTTGATAGAAGTGTTTAAAATATCAAAAAGTACTAAAACTATGAAAATCATAAATAATGAACTCTATCACTTCACTATTCATTTAAATACAGTATACTAATTACAAAACATTCCTTATTTCTCCACCAGGTAGCACTAATGGTTTATGTACTTCATATTTTCTACAGAACCACTAAAATATGTCTGTAATTTAAAGATAAAATTAGAAATAAAGTTCTGACTCATAATCCAAAAAAAAAAATTATCTTTGCTTGCTATGACACAAATTTGTGTAACAAAATGACAGTTCTGTAAAATTATCAGTAATATGATATGGTTATGAATAATTTTACAGATAATTAATACAGGAGATAAGTTATTGGTATCAATTTCCTTCAACATTATTTTGTCTTGATATATATATATATAAAAAAAGACATAATTTGACTCACTACTGCATGCTAGAGGAGCGAGCCTAGATATGAACTGCAATGACTCAGGACTACCAGATGTTACCAACTCATTATGAATATCCTGAAGGTGTTTAATAATTTCTTTTTCACAAAGAGAAAAGCAATGACAAATAGAGCAGGCAAAGATATCTCCTGGCTGGTTGTTTTCTGAAATGATAATAAAACATATGTTACATACCATACATATACGTTGTGATCTAAATCTCTTAATATTATGTCTTCCCAGAACAACAACCCTAGTGTGAATATGTATACAAACACCAACATAGGTTCTGTCAACACACACCATAGATTCAATTATAAACCAAAACTATTTTTATTACAATACATAATCTCTAGCTATACTCAATTTTTTATTTGCACAATGACATGTACACAACACACACCTATAACAAAGGTACACAATGGAAATATCAGTGATCAAGAAAGTCTGTGTCTTTTTAAGTTATCCTTTCAACTCATAAAATGATGAATGTGATTGGTTGCTACTAAGTGCAGACACAGTAGCAAAGGATTTTCAATAAATTTCCTTTAAGTAGATAGTAGCCAAGTGGGAGGATGGAAGGAAGAAACAGTCCACAAACCTTACTTCAACAGAAGAATGGATAAAGTACATCAAAGCTATCTATTTGATAACAAATAAAAAAAAATGAGAGGGGGGATTTGTGTGGAATTATTTTAAATTTTTGCTAAACAGAAAGAACTACGAAATTAATTCTTACCTTTAAAAAAAATCTTTTGCAATATAATGGTATCTATACAATTTTGAGTCGGCAACTGTTTGTAATGTTTTCAAAAATATATTGACAATACTATAACACAGTTCAAGTAAAACAATTTATATAACACTGACAGTTTTTGAGTTCACAAGTTCTCATAAGTACTGCCTACTCCATTTTTCAACAGAACTATTTTCATTATTCGTGCCATTTTTTAATCATAAAGCAAAAACTTGTTCTATGTATTATGTAATAACTTTTATCAGTAATAATTACTTTTAACAATAATAAATAACCATAACTATGAGTAACAGACAAACTACAAAAAGCTTCTATAACCACTCAGTCTTAGGTTATCAACTAGGTACCCTTGCTACTAGTGGTGATTTTGGTTCTTTTTCATTTATAATGATAGTTAGCATGATCTAATGACACCAAGAAAGAATGTCAAAAAACAAACCAATAAACATTTATTTTTTAAAAGGGTAGCACACAAAGTAATGTCAGTACTTAATTCACTAGGTAAAGTTCTTATCTACAGTAATCCTAAAAGTTATTTTACATACAATTTATTTTCTTTAAAACACCATAGATATACTTCTCCATTTTATTGTAATGGATGGACATTTAAAAATTATTTAAATTGTTTCATAAAAAAGACAAAAAAAAAGAAAGTTAAGTTTCTAATAAATAAAAATACTCAATACTGAAACACAAAATACATTATAACCATCACACACACATTACCATTTACAAACATACATGCTTGCTATAATAATTTGCTACTTACTGCCATAAAGTGTGTATAAATAGATGTGTATAAACATAAATATTTCCAGTAAACATTCATGCAATTCTATCAGTTAATATCAGTTAGAGCAACAAAATGAACTCTTACTAATTGATTGGAAATTTCCCTTCACTTCTGCACAGCTAGCAGTTGTTATTAAAGATCTGTTTGGATTCTCTTCTTCTAGGGTCATTACTTCATTGCCAGAATTAAGAGTGGTAAAGCTCTCCAAGGACATAGTTGGATTTCTGGATAAACTAACATTACTGGATATAGCTGTGCACTGTTCTGGTAGAGTCAAGATCATCTGACTTGTTCCATTCTCAAGGCCTTCCTGAGAAGGACACTGTGTAAGAGCTAGAACTTCAGATTCATTACTGCCTGGCTGAACTATCTGTATATTCCCCATGAGAGTGATGTTTCCATTAGGATCAGGCAAAAAAGTTACTCCTTCTAGCTCTTCTACAGTCAAGCCTGTAACTAAAGTTTCACATTATACTAATGCCTAAAACTAAGAGATTTGTAGTTACGCACAGATATATATTAAACTCCCTTTATGATCAGTTACTGAAAATATATTACTTTGTTAAAACACTTATTTTTATCAAAAAGTACTTCTAGTATTAATAAAACATGAAATTTTCACAAATAAAATCTTTCAATGGCAGCTATGAATCTGATAATATTATGACAAATCGTACCACATGTTTCAACTGCATCTTGAATTACACTTCCTGTTGTTCTTTCTTCCTCAACTGTTTGGTTTTCTGGTTGCTTAGGTTCAGCCTGAACACCAGGATTTAATGAAATGGCCTCTTTCTCAAAATCCAGCTGGTGCTGGTGTTTTTCAAGGACATGTTGGTTCCATTTATCTTGTGTGTGGAAATGAGTTTTACATTCATCACAGGTTATTGTACCTAAGGTTTTTTTGTGATCTACAAATTTTTCAATATCATGGAACTCTTCTTGACATATTCCACAAATGAAGACATCCATTCTAATAGAAAAAAAAATACAATATTAATATTTACTTAAACAATTTAAACCATCATTTTATTAAATACCAAAATAGCCAATATATATATATATGTGATGTGAAAAAATGGCCCCACCAAAATGAAATAGCATTAATAAAATTTTTAGAAGCTTTAGTGTGAATATTAAAAAGTAAACAAGATCACTGTACTTTTAAATATCTCTTACTTCTGAACAAGATTTTTAATTCTGTTAAGAAACTCAAGTTTGTGTTAAATGCAAATTAATCAATATTTTGCTTCAGATACATATAAAAAAGAACTCATTTCATTTATGTACTCAACCAACAATTGGTCCAGTTATCAATGCTATTTTCCAGTTTTGAACAACTCGACTTTCAAGATCTACATATGCCGATGTTTCCGTTTATCAACGTTATATTTTAAGATCTGTGCAAGAACTCAGCTAACAGATGTTTCCGCATATAAAAGCTATCTTCAAAAAAATATTGTATTATATTTTCAGGTTTAGAAACTACTGTTCATTCAATGTCTTTATGTTTTTACATTTAATATGACACATGTTTGCTTGTTTATGGCAATATTTTACACATTTGCTTTTATATAACATTTTTTTATTTTATCCAAATAATTACGTATGATATAACCAACCACATTATTTTAAAAAAACATTTAATATTTTCAAGTTCTTTATGAAAATATTTATATGTGCTAGCAATTTAGTTTGATAAATTAGTATATAAACGTGACATTTTAAACAGATCTGAAATTAAGCTGTCAAAATTGGAATTTTTTTGCTATTATGATACACTTCACATTTAAACAACTGAATGGTTATAAACACATATAAGAGACCATGAATATTTAGTGATGAATAACAAATCAAGCTTATTAGATCACATGCCTGGCAAATGTGACGTAGTTATAATGCACATCACAGTTTCAAATTCTCACTAGTGTGTTTGTGTTTTTCTTATAGCAAAGCCACATCAGGCTATCTGCTGTGTCCATCAAGGGGAATCAAACCCTTCATTTTAGCCTTGTAAATTCATAGACTTACCACTGTCCTAGCAGGGGACACTCACTAGAGAATGTAGTGAGGAAAACATAAGAATAAAAGATGTCACTGATTAACCCCAAAAAAAAAGTCAGAGCTGGATAAAATGAATTCAATGGTTAACTTATTGGTGCATGTAAAGGAATAATTCACAGTTTTTTACTTCCTTTAAGAGTCCACAATATGGATAAGATGTTGTGAACTTTGTGCCTGTTGAAGAGATCACATTCATGCATGAGGCTTGTTGGATGTGATGTGGTATAGGCATACCTTCAGACACATGAAGCATAGCTGCACAGAAAATTAGCCATATAGTTCTTGAAGTTCCAAATAGCATACTGAAGATGAGTGGAAAGTTATTCTTAGCCAAGCTGTTCCATTGTTAAACTTGCCAAGTAGGCTTGTAAGTGGTCTAGTCTGTCAGGGCTTTCATGTAGCAAACTATATGTATGAAGGAAATCCTACCATAAATATTTTATTTGTATAGAGATAAACATTGCATTCTTACAATTTTTAGTTTCTTGAACAACCGAAGTCCGATATTAATATGTAGAACAAATGTGAACAGAATATATCCTAGATCCTTTTAATAATTTCACAACACACCGTATGTATTGTTGTCGAGTTATTTTTGTTCTTCCAATCTTTTATCTACTTCTCTTTTTTATAATGTTTGAGTCCTTGTTAGAAGATATCTAAAATGCTCTAACTTTCTCAATGACTTTGCAGATCTGCAGCCAATTGTGATGGTCAATCCCATGATGGTCAATCCCACTCATTCTACCAAATTGATGTCTACCAGGCCTTCAACTGCATGCTTTGAGGACATATTGATGACTCACAGTTTTACTGTGAAATTAAAGTTCAAAATATCTCTATGTATAAAACTGATTACCTAAAAATACTCATAATTATAAGCACATATAGTCTTGCTTACCGAAGTATACAATTTATTTGTGGATGTAAACAATCTTATTTTTTACTTTTTTTTTTAAAGTTAAACAGAAACTGAATGCAAGAATAATAACAAAGTACATGTAATTCAGAGACAAACACTACATTCACTAAAACTCTTGACTTCTGAAGCAAGATGCTATAATAAAAAAGTTATAAAAGTACACATGTTGCTGTATAATTCAAGTTTTGACAATGCAGCAAAGTACTAGAGCTAGGCCTATCAATACAAATTTTATTACAATTAAAAATAATTAAATGCAATGTTCATACATGTTCAGAAAAAATATATTATACCTGCTCAAATAATACACATTTAAAACTTGCAGGGCCAAAGATACTGTTTCAAATTAATCCATAGTATGCTGTAACAATAATAAACTTTTATTCTTGCAATAATGGCAGAAGCTGTACACACCACTGATGTAAATAAGATAAAGATAATACATTGCATATGGTCAGTGGCTAAATTGTAATTTTGAAGGAAGGGGAAATTCCTTTTATGATTCACTTTGCAGTAAACAGACTTTATACACATAGCCTTGTTCAGAAGCATTAGGTACCTCCTAAGTTCTTTGTATTGAATCTACACTTTATATCACTAAATGACATCAAACTCCTGTGCATACATGCAGCACAAAAACATTTATGTGGTTTGTTTTGCCATGGATTGATCTCTGATGTTTACATTTTTTCTTCCAACTAGAGGACCATAACCACTAATGGCCCAAATGGTAAAAGGACAGGTTGCCATTCTGTCCTAATTTAACCTCAATGTATACTGCAGAGGTGGGCATAATATTAAGAGTTTACTGGTACTGTATATATATATATATATATATAATTATATATATATACATACACAGTACATTGCATGCAAGATATTGACTTTTTATATCTTACATAAACAAGCTGATTTTTTTGAAAAAAGCAGTGATTATCCACATAAAACTTCATTTGTATTACAAAGCAATATGAAGTCTTCCAGGGAAATCTAATACCACTTTAACATATCTATAAAAACAATACTTATCTCCACTTTTAAACTTTATGAAGTCAGGAAATACCTCTTTTTTGAGAAGTATGAAAATGACAAGTTATCATATTACATAATTTGCAGTTTTCACTATGAATCATAAGGTAACCCACATTTTATACTATATAATTATAATTATAAAAATTACTGACTCACAATCATCACTTAAGAGATTTAATATGTACATAATTGCTATGTATATTGCCTTTTTTAATTAATAATACATATACTAGACAGTAATACTAAACATTTTTAAATTACACTATCTTTCTCACTAATGAGATTCTTACATTTACAGTCAAAACTGACAAGTATCATTACCGATACAAAATCAACAGAAAACTACCAATTACAGTCAACAGACATAAAGGCTAAAGATTACAATTTACAATGGTAAATAGTATTGTGACTACTGTGTTCCTGATAGTATTAATTAGTTGCAGTGCTGGTTGTAAATCTAAAACTTTAAAAAGCTGTTCGAATATAACTTAGAAGAACTTGGTCCATATCAAATAGTAAAAAACCGAATCCCTTGCCCAATATTTGAGCTAAAATCGGTGTTAGAATGTTCTAGAATTAGAAATAGTACTATATAAGTTATTATTAGTACTAGTAGAATTTCAATACACTATACCATAATATTATTAATATAATAATAACAAAAATTAATATTAAGTTGATGATTAACAATAACGATAACACTGTGCATTTTACAGAAATGTAAAATATTAACTATAAGTATAAAAGTTTAACTTTAACTAAACCAGTATTTAGTTCACTGATTTTGTAATTCAGAAATTTTATTCTGATTTTACTTACAACTTATAAGCATTGCTGTTCTTAAACAAACATTGTTCCTATTTTCCCATAAAATGATTGTATAAATGCAATTCAAAACCTTAATAGTAATAGAAATATTAGAAATACACATTATTTAAATCGACGCCATATTCTGACCGACATTTACACATACACAACACAGTATAGTTTGTTCTAACAAAATTGTAAGTTTAAGTTCTTTTTTCAAGCTTTCTTGTCACAATATTTTTTCATAAATAATATACTCAAATTTTATACCATATACGGCAGAAGACAATTTATAACTAGTTAATACCTTGTTTCGAAAATGAAGTGAATTTTCCGAGAACTAATACTAAAATTACGAGTGCTTACAATCGGATATGACGTTAAAATCACGTGATAAAGCGCACTCATTCGGAGTCTTGTTATCAGAGTGTACCCATGGTGTTGTTATCATTCAACGGAAAGAAAGACTTAGGGTTTCTTCGTTGTTTCATAGAAGCCTTAATAAAATTAAAAGAAGAATAAGGATATTGTAGAAAGTAAATATGACATCTCGGATAAATCTACTTGCGAAAAAACTGAAGGATTTACTGTAGCCTTTAGTGTAGGATAAAATATTAAAAATGCGATAAACTCTGGGTTAACCCATTTTCCAAACAAAGTATCTCTCTCGATGACGAGGAACCCACTTTGAGACCAATAATGGTTGGAGATGGCTTGAATGGGTAATGAAGAAAAACTTTAATATAAGATTAACATAACAGCAAATGCACAACGCTTCGACAAGGTTTTGTCATCATCAAGTACAGAGACTGATGACAAAACCTAGTCAAAACGTTGTACATTTGCTGTTATGTTAAT